GAAGCCCAGCAGTAGCAGGGCTAATTCTCCATCACATGAGAGATGTTTATACCTAAAAAATGCTGTTAGTGCTGGTTCTAGCAGCAAACCTGAGTGTAATACCCCCACCTGGCACCCCACGCAGGTGGCTTCATGGGTGCTGTGCCACCCTGCTGGCAGCAGCACAGAACAAGGGAGAGTCTTGCCAGGACTCAGCTTCCACATGGCATCTCTTAGGAATCAGATGGATTTCCTCGTCCTGCTAAAGCCAAAAAAAAAGATGTCAAAAGCAAGAGGAGGTGGTATCAGCAGCTGAAGGTGGAGGGAGGAAGGCTGGAGGGTGAGCATCACCCCGTGAAGCTGGCTGAGGTGAAGAAGAATGGAAAGGAGAAGGAGCACTCAGACTCAACGAGGTCTTGGGGCTTTGCTGGTTTTCCTAAGTGGCCCTCCCCTCCAAAAATGGGAACAAGCCATTTCTGTAAAGGTCAAAGTCCAATTCTAGATGAGCTTTCAGCTTCAAAAGCGAACGCGGAGACACGCACGTACTCTTGCTGCCTGCCTGGAAAATATGATTCAGAGAAAATTGTGCAATGCCCAAACTCCATTTAGCTGTTAGCAGGCTCGATCTAAAAAATATACAATTAAGAAGCTTGAGCATCTGGGAAGACCAAATGGCTTTAAAATATACCGTATTGTTGCCGCACTCGTATCAAAAGCACTTTGGAAGAAAATAGAGCTTCAACAAGTCAACCTTTGAGCCAAAGCATCGTCCCTGGTGTGGAAATCATAACACCAGTGCTTTGGTGCAACCCACGAGAGGAAGGCAGTTAAGAGAGCTTGTAACTTTGAAAAGAAAATGCTTTGAGACAATAAACCAGCTTGGCAGAAAGAAAAGCATATTTATCAGCGGTTAACATGGCTTGACAGCTAATAGGGAAAAAGAGCAAAGTGAAATCCAGTGAGTTGCTTCTCCAGCTTTGCTGTGTTTAAAGAATCCGCTCTCTTTAATCCTCCCATGTGGGGAAAATGTGCCTGTAGGGTCGCCATGTGAAGACAGTAGAAGGAGTTGAGATGGCAAAACCTGAGCTCCATATTTTGCACGGGGAGTGTCTATAGACCCTGCTAAATTTTAAATGTATGTACAACTCTAATCTGCAAAGTATCTGCAAATTAATCCCTGCCTTGAAGGTAGAGCCCAGCTGCTTCCTTGGTGTCTCTAACTGCATGAGTAGACCAGACCCACTGAGATGAACAAGCAAGAACTTCCCACCTGGTTGGGATGAACGCTGTCCTGCTCTGGTTTGCAGCTCAAGGACCTCTGCATCTGAGGGAAGGCAGAAAAGAAGGAGGTCTAGCTAAAGCCCCGTCACCGATTTCCTACCAGGCTTGGCTCCAGCCCTAGGCAGCAAACAAAAATGAACAAGACTTTACACGTGTCAAGAAAGGTGGAGGAGGTGATGAGCTGAATTTGTGGTTCCCTCCCACGCCCAGACTGAGCAGTCCCTGTCACCCGGGGAGAGGAGAGGCAGATGGAGAGAAATACAAACTTGTACAGGAAAAAAAAAATAAAAATACGTAACAACAACAACAAAAAAATACAGTAAAAAAGACTCATCCCTCCCTTCTCCTTCCATTCCAAGCAGCTGGAGAGGAAGGACAGGTCTGAGCTACCTGTACTTAGGTTTCTTGTGAGTTCTGTGGCAGTTTGTGCAGGCAGACATGTTTGTGTGTGTGCACGTGTACCTCTGGTGGGGTACAAGCTCAGACTTGCTACTGGGTGGACCTAGAAATGAGATGGCAGCAGCCACATCCACCAGCTTGGGATGGACACCCCGATCTCCAGGTGGCTGGGCTTCGGCTGGAAGGAGAAATCCCAAGGTCCTGGACTCTGCTGGATTTGGGAGCTTCCTGAATGTGCTCAACACAGAGAATGCAAAATTCCTCCTGGTGTCTACTCAGTAGAGTCAAGCCAGTTTCTGTGAATACCCATTTATCTGGAAAACAGCGTTCCAACTGTCCCAAAACCATGGAGATTCCATCTGGATTGACTAAACACCCTGGACTTTCATACCGTAAACATCACATTCCAAATAAATCAGAAAGTTTGCTGCATTCCATATAAATTAGAAGGAGTCCTCTCTCTCTCCCTTGATGGATGCCATCCAGAGAATTCCTTGCCCTGGTGCCAGACCCCTGAGCCCTTCCCTCCCTCTCGAAGCCACAGCACTCATGGTGTCCCCCATTTGCTGTCCCCTGCACAGCATCCTGCTGGGGGAATGGGCTGGGTATGGTCCTTGTGTATTTTATATCAGTATTGGGATCAACATTGATTCTTTAGTATTATTAATGTTAATTATTTCGTCTTATTAAATCTGTTTGTATTTCAACTTTCATGTTTCCTTGCGTTTCCCTGATTCTCCATCCCGGGTGGGGAGGAGTCATCATGAGATAGAAAAATTGTCTATATGACAATAAATTTTTGAGGGTTCCTCAAACCATAACAGGCAGAAAGACCAGTGTAGACCTCGGTGTAGACCCTTTCAGAATGGTCTGAAGGGCAGTATTGGGATCAACATTGATTCTTTAGTATTATTAATGTTAATTATTTCGTCTTATTAAATCTGTTTGTATTTCAACTTTCATGTTTCCTTGCGTTTCCCTGATTCTCCATCCCGGGTGGGGAGGAGTCATCATGAGATAGAAAAATTGTCTATATGACAATAAATTTTTGAGGGTTCCTACGCCCAGACTGAGCAGTCCCTGTCACCCGGGGAGAGGAGAGGCAGATGGAGAGAAATACAAACTTGTACAGGAAAAAAAAAATAAAAATACGTAACAACAACAACAAAAAAATACAGTAAAAAAGACTCATCCCTCCCTTCTCCTTCCATTCCAAGCAGCTGGAGAGGAAGGACAGGTCTGAGCTACCTGTGCTTAGGTTTCTTGTGAGTTCTGTGGCAGTTTGTGCAGGCAGACATGTTTGTGTGTGTGCACGTGTACCTCTGGTGGGGTACAAGCTCAGACTTGCTACTGGGTGGACCTAGAAATGAGATGGCAGCAGCCACATCCACCAGCTTGGGATGGACACCCCGATCTCCAGGTGGCTGGGCTTCGGCTGGAAGGAGAAATCCCAAGGTCCTGGACTCTGCTGGATTTGGGAGCTTCCCGAATGTGCTCAACACAGAGAGTGCAAAATTCCTCCTGGTGTCTACTCAGTAGAGTCAAGCCAGTTTCTGTGAATACCCATTTATCTCAAAAACAGCGTTCCAACTGTCCCAAAACCATGGAGAGTCCATCTGGATTTACTAAACACCCTGGACTTTCATACCATAAACATCACATTCCAAATAAATCAGAAAGTTTGCTGCATTCCATATAAATTAGAAGGAGTCCTCTCTCTCCCTTGATGGATGCCATCCAGAGAACTCCTTGCCCTGATGCCTTCCATGGAACTTCCATGTTTCCTTGTGTTTCCCTGATTCTCCTTCCCGGGTGGGGAGGAGTCAACATGAGATAGAATAATTGTCTAAATGACAATAAACTTTTGAGGGTTCCTCAAACCATAACAGGCTGAAAGACCAGTGTAGACCTTGGTGTAGACCCTTTCAGAATGGTCTGAAGGGTCCATGGGGCAGTGCTGCCTCTTAGGATGACATCAGGCTGACTTCAGGTGACAAACTCCATGTCAACTTATAGCAGACCAGGTCAGGAATAGCTTCAGATCATCTCGTCTACGTGGTATTGCTCACGCAACGGTGCTTCAGGGCAGATGGAGCATGGTAGGACCTCTCTGCCCTTTAGGAAGGTGATCCCCAAACCTCTTATCCATCCTATTTCCTGGGCCACCAGTGGTTTATCCTAAATCCAGCTCCCACCAAGCCTCCTGAGGAGAAACAGTTTGGGCAGCTGGAAAATTTGGTCTTGAGATTGCTCTTAAAAAACAACACACATCGAGTCTCGTGTCTGGACTGGGGAATGTTCCATTGCTCTGAAAATCTGAAACGATTTCACTAGTCAAGGAGGATGGAAACTTAATAAAAAATGACCTGGCATTTGAGATACTCTTCTGGGAAATAAGAGGAAGTTAAAATTCATCTTCCAAACCAGACAGAAGCCGATATTTACCTTCTGGCCAGGGAATGAGCTGGTCATGGGACTATCGAAGACCGTTGCTGCCAGGCCTTGCCTTTTTGAAAGAGCCAGTACCATCTTCAGAGGGCAGAAATCTGGCCACACAACGAGTTGTTCCTTTAGACCTGGGAGGACAAGGCAAGCCAAAAAGGTTAAAATTGATCCTTCTTCTTCCCCGAGAGAGGCACAATAACCAGGAGGAGGTGGAAGCTACCTCCTGTTTGCTTTTCTGCTCTTCTCCAACAGTGAGAAATGCTCCGGTGTCTCTCTCGGTGCCTTTTTCTTACTCCATTCAAGGGAGAAAAAGGGCTTTGATCAGATCAGAGGAAGTGAATCTGTCTATTTAGACTCGTGTATTTCTGCCAGGAGAAGGAGAGGATTATATAGTACGATAGTCTGAAGATACATTTTTATCTTGCATTCCTCTCCAAGTGGTTTTTTCTTTTTTTTTAAAACGTTTAATGAGTTTTAATTGATTTTCACACCACCTCTGCATTATAGCACAGTCATCTCACACTGCAGCACAGCCACCCCCACAGACCCTCACCAACCTCGAGGACTGAAGGAACTGCGCTCCGGTGTGTGACCTTCTGGAGTTCATGCTTTGAGGCCATTTCCCCTTTTCTTCATGACTGGAAACACTTTTAATAACACTTTTTAATAACAAGAGTCTCGTGCAATCGCTTGACTCCAAAAGCTCAGATTTTTTTTTTTAAAAATCACATATGTGATAGTTAATGGGGGTTTTTTTTGTGATTGTTGACATATTTTACGGAAAGCTCTTGTATTCCCCACAGCTTGAAAACATCAAAAGCCAGGCAGAAATGTGTTCAGCCACGAATTACATGAGGTTCATTTACTAGTGGCCAGGTTGTCTTCTCTCTTCAGCTTGTCCTGCAGCCTCCTGCGTCTGTCTGGGGAGGTTCCTGGAGTTTTTCCATCCAAAACCCAATGGGTTAACCTGTATGAAAAGTAAAATATAGATGTGAAAAGATAAGTAGAGCCACCCAGTCTGCTGCTGGTTAGATACTATAGAGTCATAGAATGGTTTGGGTTGGAAGGGACCTTAAAGGTCCCCAAGATCCAACCCCCTGGTTGGATCAGGGACACCTCCCACCACACCAGGTTGCTCCAAGCCCCGTCCAACCTGGCCTTGAACCCCTCCAGGGATGGGGCAGCCAAAGCTTCTCTGGGCAACCTGGGCCAGGCTCTCACCACCCTCACACCAAAGAAGTTCTTCCCCACATCTCATCTCCATCTCCCCTCTTTCAGTTTCAAACCCTTCCCCCTCCTCCTAGGGCTCCCCTCCCCGATCAAGAGTCCCTCCCCATCTCTTGTGGAGCCCCTTGAGGGACTGGAAGGGGCTTGAAGGTCTCCCTGGAGCCTTCTCTTCTCCAGGCTGAACCCCCCAACTCTCTCAGCCTGTCTTCATAGGAAAGTAATCCCAGAGATCAAAGCTGTTTCTTTTGCTCTTTGCCATGCACCTGAGGCCTTGTCCATCCCCTCTGTCGTTGCGGGGCGCTGCCGGTTTCTCCAGCAAGTCCCCAGTAGCACCTCAACTCCACCACCACCCTTCCCTTTGCCTCTCCTGCTCCTCATGGCATTTTCTGTCTCTGTGTAAACCAACACATGGCACACAGGGAAACTCATGGCCCATTAAACTCCTGCTAATCCGACTCTAATGATATACTTACCTGCAGATCCCTTATTAAAGGCAGATTTGTTTTCGGGAAGCGGGTTCCAAAGCAGCTTGGCCATCGCTGATGCAGGAACTAATGAGCCAACTTATTTATCTCCCACCCCCTTCTCCTTTTTCCCTGCATTTGTTTGCTTTAGAGCACTCCTGTTTCTTCAGGGAAGGTGGCATCTAGTGCCACGAGCAGCTGAAGAGGAGCCAAGCTCCAGGGCTCCTTCCCCAATTCTCCGAAACCAACCTGCTGCTTGGCTTTGAGCAACCAATTTATCCTTTCTGCATTTTCTTCTTTTTTTTTCCCTTCTCAGCTCTCTTTCTGTAAACAGGACAGATGGTTTACACGGACTTTCAGAAAACCTTTGACAACTCCCTCATGAGATGTTATTAAGGGAGCTAAGTAGACACGGGGCGAAAGGTAAAGTATTGTCATAGAAACTAGCAAAAAGACAGAAACCAAGGAGTATGAGTACACGTTCAATTTTTTAATCTAACCAAAAGCTGCCAGCAGAACTGGCCTGATATTTTCTAAAGGGGAAAAAAAAATCTATTAGAAAAGCCAGATTCCAAAAAAAAAAAATTAAACCTTTGCTTTGGGAAATATTGTTTTGCAGGTGTTCTTGTGTATACACGTATGTGTATACACATATATAAATTATATATTTTTGTGTGTGTGTTCGTTTGTATTTGCATGGTGAAAATCAGAATGGTTATTTCCTCTCAGTCATGGGTCTGAAGGTGAATAAGAACAGGAGAAAGAGTCACCTGGAAATACTCCCCAGGAAAATCAAGAGAAAAATCATAGAATGGTTTAGGTTGGAAGGGACCTTAATGATCATCTAGTTCCAACCCTCCTGCCATGGGCAGGGACACCTCCCAGGGATCATTAATTTCCAGAAGGAACCATCTGGAACACCCCCCGGTGCCAAAGCACAACCAGCTCTACTGGTGACACTCCTGGAAGGCTGCTGCTCTAGTATTTTGTCCTCAAGAACTGCCAGAAGAACCTCAGATCCCCACGAATGCATATCCAGGGCTGCTGAGACACCTCTGCCACCCCAAATTCCACCTCCATCCATATCTCAGTCATCCTTTTTTACCATTCCACCAGCTCTGGTAGAACCCACACGCTTTATGCAGAGCAACGTAGCATCGAAGAATGGTTTGGGTTGGGAAGGACCTTAAAGATCATCTTGTTCCAACCCCTCTGCCATGGGCAGGGACACCTCCCAGAGATCATTAATTTCCAGAAGGAACCATCTGGAACACCTCCCAGTGCCAAGACAGAGCCACCTCCGTTGGTGACACTCCTGGAAGGCTGTTGCTCTAGTATTTGTCCTCAAGAACTGCCAGAAGAACCTCAGATCCCCACAAATGCATATCCAGGGCTGCTGAGACACCTCTGCCACCCCAAATTCCACCTCCATCCATATCTCAGTCATCCTTTTTTACCATTCCACCAGCTCTGGCAGAACCCACACACTTTACGCAGAACAACGTAGCATCAAAGAATGGTTTGGGTTGGGAAGGACCTTAAAGATCATCTTGTTCCAACCCTCCTGCCATGGGCAGGGACACCTCCCAGAGATCATTAATTTCCAGAAGGAACCATCTGGAACACCCCCCGGTGCCAAAGCACAACCAGCTCTACTGGTGACACTCCTGGAAGGCTGCTGCTCTAGTATTTTGTCCTCAAGAACTGCCAGAAGAACCTCAGATCCCCACGAATGCATATCCAGGGCTGCTGAGACACCTCTGCCACCCCAAATTCCACCTCCATCCATATCTCAGTCATCCTTTTTTACCATTCCACCAGCTCTGGTAGAACCCACACACTTTACGTAGTGTGTGGCATCGAAGAATGGTTTGGGTTGGGAAGGACCTTAAAGATCATCCTGTTCCAACCCCCTGCCATGGGCAGGGACACCTCCTATAGATCATTAATTTCCAGAAGGAACCATCTGGAACACCCCCCGGTGCCAAAGCACAACCAGCTCTACTGGTGACACTCCTGGAAGGCTGCTGCTCTAGTATTTTGTCCTCAAGAACTGCCAGAAGAACCTCAGATCCCCACGAATGCATATCCAGGGCTGCTGAGACACCTCTGCCACCCCAAATTCCACCTCCATCCATATCTCAGTCATCCTTTTTTACCATTCCACCAGCTCTGGTAGAACCCACACGCTTTATGCAGAGCAAAGTAGCATCGAAGATTGGTTTGGGTTGGGAAGGACCTTAAAGATCATCTTGTTCCAACCCCTCTGCCATGGGCAGGGACACCTCCCAGAGATCATTAATTTCCAGAAGGAACCATCTGGAACACCTCCCAGTGCCAAGACAGAGCCACCTCCGTTGGTGACACTCCTGGAAGGCTGTTGCTCTAGTATTTGTCCTCAAGAACTGCCAGAAGAACCTCAGATCCCCACAAATGCATATCCAGGGCTGCTGAGACACCTCTGCCACCCCAAATTCCACCTCCATCCATATCTCAGTCATCCTTTTTTACCATTCCACCAGCTCTGGCAGAACCCACACACTTTACGCAGAACAACGTAGCATCAAAGAATGGTTTGGGTTGGGAAGGACCTTAAAGATCATCTTGTTCCAACCCTTCTGCCATGGGCAGGGACACCTCCCAGAGATCATTAATTTCCAGAAGGAACCATCTGGAACACCCCCCGGTGCCAAAGCAGAACCAGCTCTACTGGTGACACTCCTGGAAGGCTGCTGCTCTAGTATTTTGTCCTCAAGAACTGCCAGAAGAACCTCAGATCCCCACGAATGCATATCCAGGGCTGCTGAGACACCTCTGCCACCCCAAATTCCACCTCCATCCATATCTCAGTCATCCTTTTTTACCATTCCACCAGCTCTGGTAGAACCCACACGCTTTATGCAGAGCAACGTAGCATCGAAGAATGGTTTGGGTTGGGAAGGACCTTAAAGATCATCTTGTTCCAACCCCTCTGCCATGGGCAGGGACACCTCCCAGAGATCATTAATTTCCAGAAGGAACCATCTGGAACACCTCCCAGTGCCAAGACAGAGCCACCTCCGTTGGTGACACTCCTGGAAGGCTGTTGCTCTAGTATTTGTCCTCAAGAACTGCCAGAAGAACCTCAGATCCCCACGAATGCATATCCAGGGCTGCTGAGACACCTCTGCCACCCCAAATTCCACCTCCATCCATATCTCAGTCATCCTTTTTTACCATTCCACCAGCTCTGGCAGAACCCACACACTTTACGCAGAACAACGTAGCATCAAAGAATGGTTTGGGTTGGGAAGGACCTTAAAGATCATCTTGTTCCAACCCTTCTGCCATGGGCAGGGACACCTCCCAGAGATCATTAATTTCCAGAAGGAACCATCTGGAACACCCCCCGGTGCCAAAGCAGAACCAGCTCTACTGGTGACACTCCTGGAAGGCTGCTGCTCTAGTATTTTGTCCTCAAGAACTGCCAGAAGAACCTCAGATCCCCACGAATGCATATCCAGGGCTGCTGAGACACCTCTGCCACCCCAAATTCCACCTCCATCCATATCTCAGTCATCCTTTTTTACCATTCCACCAGCTCTGGTAGAACCCACACGCTTTATGCAGAGCAAAGTAGCATCGAAGAATGGTTTGGGTTGGGAAGGACCTTAAAGATCATCTTGTTCCAACCCCTCTGCCATGGGCAGGGACACCTCCCAGAGATCATTAATTTCCAGAAGGAACCATCTGGAACACCTCCCAGTGCCAAGACAGAGCCACCTCCGTTGGTGACACTCCTGGAAGGCTGTTGCTCTAGTATTTGTCCTCAAGAACTGCCAGAAGAACCTCAGATCCCCACGAATGCATATCCAGGGCTGCTGAGACACCTCTGCCACCCCAAATTCCACCTCCATCCATATCTCAGTCATCCTTTTTACCATTCCACCAGCTCTGGCAGAACCCACACACTTTATGCAGAGCAAAGTAGCATCGAAGAATGGTTTGGGTTGGGAAGGACCTTAAAGATCATCTTGTTCCAACCCCTCTGCCATGGGCAGGGACACCTCCCACCAAACCAGGTTGCTCAAAAATCTGCATTTTCCTATGGATGATCAATGACGGTTATTTAGGAGCACATTATCAAGAACCCATTTCAGCACAATTCCAGGAGAAACATTTTCTTTAGATAAGAATTTCCCTATCACAGCAATTTTCCTCTATTCAATAAATAAATTGTAATCTAATACTGACTCAACTGGTGCTGTGTGTCGTTGGGTTTGATTGAAATAGACTGTGGAACGGCGATATTATGAAAATCTAAGTAAATTCTGTCGGTGTGGTTGCTCGTGCATCGTTATATGGGGGTTTTTTGTGGTTTTTTTTTAATTTTTCATTATTCAGGACGAGAAATAAACAATAAAATGGCAAGAACTACAGTTGACCCCAAGTATTTCAATTATCTACAAGAAAACGAAATAATTAGACGGACCTCGGTGAAAGAATCACGTAAATGCAGATGAAGATTTGGGAATTTTTGGCAAATACACCGGGCACTGGAAGACCTGACCCATACTATCCAAACATCTTGCCGAATGCTGAGTAGAATATAGCCATTATTCCACCTAAAAAAAAGCAAACAAATAACAAAACACAACACAACTCGGTGAAAATCTGTGGCGTGTACAGGCAGGTAAAGCACTAGGACAAAAAAACAGGGCAGAAAATAACACTGGAAGTGCTAAAATAGAATTTTATACTATAATCCAGAAAAATATTGGCCCAACTGGAAAGCTGTTGTATTATTTTATAATATTTTTTTTAAATGAACCGATTCAGGAGAGGAAAGAGCAGCTTCTGGAGAGACTGGAAGGGAAAGGATTAGAACCAGGGACACAAATGAAGAGATAAGTCGTAGAAATAGCCATTTAGACACTGATTAGGAGCTGGACGTAGATTCTCTACATTTATTCTTTAACTATAAGGACCAAATTATATCTCCCATATCACCCTGCTGGACCACAAACTTATAGAATGGATGTAATTATGGAATCACAGCCTATTAATTAGCCAATAGCAAAGCCTGTGGTTCTGAGTGGACAATCCTCATGGGGTTAAAATTGGGAGAAAAAAAAATGGTAACAGTTTCCTATTTTCATCCAACTTTTCAAATTCTTGCAACCATCCCAATCACACCCTCCTCAAAAACACAAATGACGTGGAAAGAACCACTTGCAAAAAAATCAATAAGTGATGAAAAAGAAGAAAAAGAAGAAAAAAGAAGAAAAAGAAGAAAAAGAAGAAAAAATGGTGTTTTGTTTGTCTTTTCAGAGTTAAAAAAGCTTGTTAGACATTTCCAGGAAGGTGAGGAGCACTTGACAGTAGACAAAACTTTTTTCACCGTATTGATTACGGGAAGGGGAGATGGGTTGGTTTGGTTTTTTCCCCCTCAGAAAATAGACCCTTTTTCCACCAGAAAGAAAAGATGGGTATAAAGTGCTACCAAGGTCTGTGCTGGAGTCAATAAGAGCGTTAACGGTACATTTGACAAAGAACCTTACTTTTACGGCGCTTCTTTCCTCTGCTTTCATTAAAGTTGGCTGAAAACCCAAGAATTCTGTTCAGGCAGAAGAAAAAAAAACCCAAAGTTTGAAAACACATAATTCCGTGAGCCATGAAATACGTGAAGCCTGTTTTCTTGGAGCTTTTCATTCCGAGCAGCTTTCCTCTTCACGCTCTCGCTGGTTGCAGATAAGGGCTGAAGGCTTAAGTCATCTTCCTCCTACGGACACGCTTGGGCTCTTCTCCTTCATCCGAGCGTTCCTACCAACCAGGAGAAAAAGCTATTAGGGGTGGAGAGACAAACGGACACACAAAAATTTTCTAAAATCAACATAGAATCATAATTGATTTTCTAAATCAACATAGAATCATTATTATGACAATTATCACCAAATTATGATGATTTCCATGGGAAATCAATGTATCCTATTCAGCAAGAATTTCTAAAGCTTTGAGTTTTGGGGTGTTTTTTGTTTTTTTTTTGTTGGTTGGTTTTTTACACCCCAGAGGAATGGATCAAATTACGATGATTTCCATGGGAAATCAACGTATCCTGTTCAGCAAGAATTTCCAAAGCTTTGAGTTTTGGGGTGGGTTTTTTTTTCAGATGGTTGGTTTTTTACACCCCAGAGGAATGGAGTGATGGGACATAAAGATGAATCTCTGTTATACCTTTATCCACAGAATCACATGGGGTTGGAAGGGACCTCTGGAGATCATCTACTCCAACCCCCCTGCCAAAGCAGGTCGACCTATAGCAGGTTGCAGAGGAACTTGTCCAGGTGGGGTTTGAATGTCTTCAGAGAAGGAGACTCCACCACCTCTCTGGGCAGCCTCTTCTGGGGCTCTGCCATCCTCAAGGTCAAGGGTGGCAACTTGACCCTCCAGATCCTATCATGATCTCTCTTATATCGAAGAAAATGGCCCCAGCCATCTGGTTAGTGACTCTCTTGAGAGAGGTTTTCTATACTGACACGAAGAAAATTCTTTGCTGGAAACTCACCATCCCTGGAGATATTTAAAAGATGGTGGACATAGTGCTTAGAGACATGGGTTAGTGATGGTTTTCATCAGAATTAGGTTGATGGTTGCTCTCAATGATCTTAAAGGTCCCTTCCAAGGAGCTGGGACTGTTTAGTATGAGGAAGAGGAGGCTGAGGGGAGACCTCATCACTCTCTACAACTACTGGAAAGGACACTGTAGAGAGGTTGGGGCTGGTCTCTTCTCACAGGTAATTAATGACAGAACGAGAGGGAATGGCTTCAAGCTCCAACAGGGTGGGTTTAGACTGAACATTAGGAAGGAATTTTTCACAGAAACAGTGGTCAGACACTGGAATAGGCTGCCCAGGGAGGTGGTTGAGTCACCATCCCTGGATGTGTTTAAGGGACGTTTAGATGTGGTGCTGAGGGACATGGTGTAGGGAAGAACTTTGTAGAGTAGGGTAGATGGTTGGACTCGATGATCCCAAGGGTCTCTTCCAACCTAGACCATTCTATGACTCTATGACTCTATGACTCTATATCAAGGGAATAATCCCCTTTAAAATCATCTCACCCAGCGTTAATATTAAACCCCCCCTTTTCTTATTACAGCCTCCACGAAGCCCAATATCCTCACTTTTGGTCCCATTTTTTGCCTGAATACTCAAATTTCTGTAACTGGGATTGCCATTCTGTGCGACACGCATCAGCATCGCGCACGTCCTATTCCTCCCGACCCGATAAGCCTGCCCGCTGTGACACAGGCAGCCACCAAACGAAAAGGAGATGTCATTTTGCCTGATGGATATCACCATTTTAAATACAACCATCCCTGCCCAGTTAATCTTGCAGCTACAGTTCATTTCAGATTCGCGAGTCGAAAAAACGCTCATTTCTGCCATCCCTTTCCTGGAGAATTTTGCCGCGGTTGTGATCGTTGTTTCCCCCTTTAATCTAAAATTAAATTGTGAAATACACGCTTCGCTCTTTGTTTATGAAAAAACACCCCTCGTGTTTATATCTTCTTTATACTCCCCCAATCAAAAAGTGTTGCAAAAACGAGTCAAGGTTGCTAAGTAACAATGACATTTACAGAACCTGTGCTGCACTTAAAGGTAAGGATATAATGAGAATATTTAAGACTATCATAAATTGTATTACAAGCAAACAATCCCTTGATTCTCAACAAATGAAATGAAACAACTTCAAGCCTTTTCCAGGGATTTAAAAGTAGGGTTTTTTCTGGTATTGGGTCCCATCCTGCCAATGTTTTTTTTCTGAAGGGATGCAATTAGAAGGGAACTCATTGCTCTGATGAAAGTGTAGCTGTTCAAATTCAACGGTTGCGGTTGTTGGTTTGGTTTGGGGGTTGGATATTGTTTGTTTTAATTGAAGGGCTTACAATTAAATTCAATGCTGAGACCAGGCTGTGGTGTTAATGTAGGAGAGCGGCCACCATATACCCTTCCTGCATGTGGGTTTGGGCGATCCCAAGCACAAATCCAGGCTGGGTGGAGAATGGCTGGAGAGCAGCCTGGAGAAGAAAGACTTGGGGGTGTTGGTGGATGAGAAGCTCAACATGAGCTGGAAGCCCAGAAAGCCCCCCCAGCGTGGCCAGCAGGGCAAGGGAGGGGGGGTTCTGCCCCTCTGCTCCGCTCTGGGGAGATCCCTCACTCAGTGCTGCCTCCAGCTCTGGGGCCACCAACAGGAGAAGGACATGGACCTGTTGAAACTGGACCAGAGGAGGCCACGGAGATGATCCATGGGTGGACCCCTCTGCTGTGAGGACAGGCTAAGAGAGTTGGGGGGGTCCAGCCTGGAGAAAAGAAGGCTCCAAGGGAGACCTTAGAGCCCCTTCCAGTCCCTCAAGGGGCTCCAGGAGAGATGGGGAGGGACTCTGGATCAGGGAGGGGAGCCATAGGACAAGGGGGAAGGGTTTGACACTGAAAGAGGGGAGATGGAGATGAGATGTGGGGAGATGGAGATGAGATGTGGGAGGTGGTGAGAGCCTGGCCCAGGTTGGCCAGAGAAGCTGTGGCTGCCCCATCCCTGGAGGGGTTCAAGGGCAGGTTGGAGGGGGCTTGGAGCAACCTGGTCTGGTGGGAGGTGTCCCTGCCCAGGGCAGGGGGTTAGAACTAGATGGTCCTTAAGGTCCCTTGCAACCCAAACCATTCTATGACACACATGAAAAATCCCTTCTTTCTTCCACCTTTCTCCTCTTCCCTCTGCCAGTGGGAGGCAGAGAGGGAGGCCATACATTAGGAGACGCAGAACTTCAGTTTGTTTTTTCCCCCCTCAAAACCCTGACAAGAGCCTTCAAACACAAACACATCTTCCCTGGTTGCACACAGATGAGCTGGAGAGGGCAGAGCTCCCAAGGTGTCCCTGGAGCAGAGCTCCAGCGAGGAGCTACAAACAAAGAGCCCTGCTTTGCTCCAGCTGCTCCAGGGAGGATTCCATGACCTGCAGTATCAGAGGCAACATGTGGTCCCAGCTCTGTCTTTTATTCATCGCCAGGTACGAGCATCCCCTGCAGGGCTGCACCTGCTGTCCTCAAATCCCTCAGGAACCAGGATGCTCCACAACCCTGACCCCAGGATGGATCATCACAGCTTCCAAAACAGAACAACAGGAAACAGTTTTACTCCATTTTTCTGATGGTTTGGAATTATGCTTGAATTCTGCACCTTGTTCTAACAGAATCACAGCATCTTCATGGTTGGAAGGGATCTGACATCCCCAAGTCATTGCCTTGCCCAGCCATGAGCCAGGAACGATCACCGTGTCTTCTAAGCTACACTTCCCTGAGGCTGAGGCTGCTGGATCCCAGCAACACGCAAATCCAAGGATTATAGAATCATAGAATCATCTGGGTTGGAAGAGACCTTCAAGGTCATCTAATCTGACCCCCCCGCAGTCAGCAGGGACACCCCCAACTAGACCAGGTTGCCCAGGGCCTCGTCGAGCCTCACCTTGAATATCTCCAGGGAAGGGGCCTCAACCACCTCCCTGGGCAACCTGTTCCAGTGCTCCACCACCCTCACAGGAAAGAACTTATTCCTAATGTCTAATCTAAATCTGCTTTTCTCCAGATTATTATTACAGAAATACCATTTGGAAGGGAACTCTGGAGGTCTCTTTTCCCAGCTCCTGCTCCATGCAGAGCTCTTGGCAGCAACAGGGCCATCAGCTGGAGCTTTGCTGAGCAGTCCCTGGAACCCCCCAAGGACAGAGATGCCACCTCTTTGGGTCTGTGTCACCCTCCTCATCAAGAAGCATTTTTCAGTACCTGAGCTCAAGTTCCCAAGTCGTAATTTGTGGCCTTTCTTTTGTATCCCACACCACCAAAAAGAGCTTGTCTCCATCAGTTCCATAACTGCTCTTCAAGAGCTGGTGGGCCACCGTGGGTTTACCCTTAGCTCCCTCTTCGCCACCCTACAAGAGCCCTCAGCCCCTCCTCACAGTCATTAACTCCTGACCATCCTCACCACCTCTTTTGGGGTCTCCACGCGTCCCCCATCCCCTGGAAATCAAAAGTAATAGAAACACAGCAAAGGAAACACCTTCTTGCCTCTAACCATCTCCATGCAGGTTCCCAAACAAAAGTCAAAATGAGCTTTGCTTTGTCCTAAAAGTAAATAATCCTCTCCCAAGGGCAAAGAAAACCCAAGGTCTCAAGCTAAACCTTTGAGTTTTCCAAGAGCAGACACTCCAAAGAAGAACTTCTTCCTTTGGTACCACGCCACTTAATCAGCTACAGATTTATTTGAAATAATTTCCATGTGTAGCTACACATTTTTCATTCTTGAGCAAAACCCAGCACATTCACACTACTTTTCCTGAGCCCAGTCACGTTATATGACCAAAGTAGGACCTTGTAAAGAAAATTAGCACCTTTATTTTGGAAACGCCGAGCGAAAAATAGAAACTTCATTTCCCTGTGGCTCTTAATAGTGTTTTGGTGTAAAATTCAAATCTGTATTCAAACAAGGGAAGGCAGCAAATTATTGCTGCGAGCCTAATATTTTCTCCCAGAGGAAAGCTATTTCTGCTTGTCACCTTTCTTCTTTCCACACACTCCACAACTCAGGTATTGCTGCTGCTCGTTACGCATATAACCTTGATTGATCATTTATGCTAATTTTAGAAACAATAATGAATGCAGCGTGGCTGATAACTAATTGATGTTTTCTTGCCGTAATGAATGGTTTGACATCAGTTCTACACGTCGGCTGCTCCTGGGTCAAGCAAGAGGTAAAAACCCAAGTGATCTTGTT